TGGTCAGCTATTCTTTAAAAAAAGATACGCAGAACCAGCTAAGCCAAGAAATAAATAATGTGAAACGAAGTCAGTAGGAGAGAAAGCGGTTATCTTCCGTTTTTCCCTTTGAGAGGTTAAGTCTAAAGAGGCTTGTAAAGTCTTAGCGTGTCACTGTCAAACAGCTGGTGCTGCCCCCATTTTGTCAGCTTGTCACAGAACCTTTCACCTTCTTTACAGCTGACAAGGTTTTGAAGGAAGGCTGTCCACAGTTATTTTCACAGGTGCACGTTACTGACTTGGAGTACTTTCCTTCTCTTATCTATTTGATCACCAGTAGGTGCACTGTATGCATCAAAACATCTTTAAAAGTCATTTAAAAATGCACAGTTGGTATTGAGCTGTTTTAAATAAGGGTCACCATCCGTTGGCTTCAGTGATTAAGAATCTGAATCTAAGTGTTCCTTTGTTAGCTTATCTGCATGAAAAACAATTTAAAATGTCTTCTCTCTGACCACAGGCACAAGAGTAGTTCCTCTGCACAACATAAAGCCCTGAGCAGAAGTCAGGACATCTCCACATACTGTAGCTTCCAACAGTTACTATGTAATCCTGCTTTTAGCAGCTTCTCTTAAATACAGCAATTATATACTGAAGCCTGCCATGCCTTTGCTGTTGGTATGGCATGAATTTGCATGTGAATACTTTTTGGATACACACACGATGTTCCTTAGCATAGATTTATGGAAGGCTTTTTCCTTATTTTAAAATTTCAAAAGTGAAAGACTTTTTCAGGCAAGGCCTTTAAGATGAATTTGTTGTGCAAATATACTCACACTAAGTCAGGAGGTTTGCAGTCCATTTGAGGATGAGATTGGAGTCTGAAGTACTAGATAAACAGCTACGTGGCAGCTTTATACAGTAGTATCCGGGGCTGGATCACACGCTGAAATTGAGTCAACAAGGTCTGAATGTTGGGAGAAAAGCAAATACGGCGTGGGCTATGTAAACATACTACGCATAGGTTTGCCTTATAAAAGTTACTTCGTTGTGCTTGATAATGCTCAGGCCTCAGGGGGCAGAAATATTTCAAAGCTGAGGATACAGCAGACTTGGTCCACAGAGAAATATTTTGTTCCAGGAATGATCAGAAATCTAGAAACTGAGACTGGGAAATGGTGAAAAAAAATTGGAGTTTTTAAGGGAGGAGCTAGTAGAGACCTGGTATCAGTCACCTTCTATGTAAGAGGTTGCTGCAAGGCAGAGGATAAACTGTTCTTTGTCTGCTGGAGGTAGGACAAAGTAATGTGCTTAAAATGGGGCAAGAGATAGTTGTGTAGCACATTGGGAGCGCTACTGACAGTGCCAGTGAAGTGACACGAATAGATTGCCCAAGGAAATGAGATTGTTATGGGATGTGCTATTGGTGTTTTTTAAGATGGTTGTCTGTTAAAAATGGTTTGGTTGCAGTTGCTCTTTCTGGTGGAGAGAATGGGCTGACCCCCCTTCATCTCATTTTTTAAAAATAAAGATTTACAATGTGAAGATATTTACACTTACTAGCAACTGCTCCTGTTGCACTCCATCCAGCCCTGGTCAAGGTTTTCTCTTCCTCTACCAATGTTGAGCTCTCGTGTCCTAAGTAAATATCTCTGACTCTTACATTGTCCTATCCATCTTAAGACTACATCTGCCTAGAGGATAACATGCTTTTCATATCTCTCCAGCATAAGGAAAAACCTCCATGCCTTGTTTGAATTAGTCTTGAACTGATGGAAGGCAGCTTTCATCCAAAGAAAGTGAACTTCCTATTTTTAAATTACTTAAATTATTTTGTAACTTTATAATTAAAACAAGCCTACAAATGGGGAACTTTCCTCCTGACTAATGGCATTTAATTATGTGACATGAGGCTTTGAATTACCAACTTTTCAGAAAGCTGTAAAATGTGTATGAGAAGACAAGAGCCAGGGAGTCTTGCTTCTTATGAAAGATTGTGGTTTACAAGACATGCTCAGCATGAAAGTACATAGGTTCCCTTCCGTGCCTGACTCTGAAACAAAAATTAAAACTGTGCTTGAATTAGGAGAATTTGGTATGACTCAAATTTCTTGTAATTCACTGCTATGATGTTACTCTTAAAATTTCTGCAATAGGGGGACTACTCAGTAAGCTATGTATTGAAAGAGTGTGCAGGAAAACAGAAGATTTTCTTGAACGACAGGCATGTGTAGTTGCTGAATCTGCCTCGTAAACCTGGCATGACCAAACAGGTTTTGCACAATCCTGTACTGATAATGTGTTTAGAAAGTGAAAGGCTTGGGTTTTAATTAACTTCACAATGCAGTTGTCTCTCCTTCAAGTGGCATCAGTGCTTTCCCTTTTTTTTTTTTTTTATTCTTTCCTTGGCTTCTGCTAGCTGATAGGGGACTGTCAATTAATTTTGATGTAAAACTGGAAGTTTTGATTTTGGGCTTTTCTGCAAACCAAAAATGGCCTTTGAAGAAATACTCACAAACGAACAGATATAATTTATATGTACATCGCAAACAGAAATCAGTAATTTTATTCATGTAACTCCCAGGTCTGTCTGAGTGGTCTTCACATTTTTGATGAAGTTAGAGGTTTGTGAGCAAAGTTTAAACCTGGAGGTAACATCCCATATTTTCATTAGTAACATGGACAAATACGATATGAAGACCCTGGGAGACACCAAAATGCAGCGGGGGACTTCTGGCACAGAGATTATTATATTTCATGTGCTGGCGGGTTCTTGATTCATCTTTACCTGAACATGGATTTGTCAAACTTCACTCTTGATTTAGCCTTTAACAAGTTACACGGCATGGATATTACAGTTTAGGAATATATAAAAAGAAGAACTGAATGTGTGTGGGGGTAATATAGCTTAAATTAGTGTGTTTTTAGTGAGGTCTTCAGGTGGCTTGAGAACATGGTGAAAATAAAATAATTGTTACGTTTTAAGGGTGTTTCTTCCCTCCAGATGTAACACTGACCTTTACCATAGCATCTCTCAGCTCCGGTGCTGCCTGGGCCTTTCCCTCAGTCTGGTTATTGCAGACCAAGAGAAAGAAGTGGCCCCTTGTTAACAGCTCTGGATTATTTGACGTAGTGCTGATATGTTTCTCCTTGTACAGTGCAGACTGGTGAGGGACAGAAGAGCGTTTTGGGCATTCCCAGCTGTCCCCTGAGGGAGAATTCCTTAAAAAAAAAAGGGGATAAAAAATACACAGTTGTATTGCAGGGATGAGGGAGCATACTCCTGGTGGCACAGAGGACTGCAGTGAAGAGAGGTTTCTTTAAGAATTACAGAGGCTTTTAGGCAAAGTCTGTTGTTCTGACAGCGATGTACATCTAGCTGTGGAAGAGACTTCTAGGACAAGGCCAGGAGCTTTTCCACTTGAGACTTTTAAAGAAGTAGCCTGGACAAAATGTGAGTTTTACAAAACTTGCTCTGCAGGAGAGGCTGGCTCAGCTATGTTCTTAAATTAAAATGTCCCTCCTGCTGTCGGTCACTGAGAGAAGGCCCCTTGCTACATGGGAGTTATGGTCTCTGGGATGTTGCTGAAGTCTTCAGAGCTTTCAGGTGGCAGGGAAACAACGCACCAGGGATTGGCTGGGCTTTAGGATAAGCTTTCCTGCTGTTTTCTTTTTGAGAACAAAAACTGATGGTGGCCAATGTGTGGGTGGAAGTGACTGTGTTCCCCAGATCCCACTGAACAGTTGAACTTCTCTTTGGAAAACATGCAACCCATTAATCTTCAAAGAACATATTAAACGTAATATTCTAGATAATTTTTACCTTAAGATCAATATTTACAGCAAAAAGTATCTTTCAGTAGAGAAATGGCTCTCTTTTTTTTTTTTCCTTTTTTCCCTCCAGAAATTACTACTTAACACTGGATTGAACCAGTGATCCTGGGTGATCAGATCTGGTTCTGCAGTGTCTCGGGCATCCCATAGCTTTGAGTAGCAGCAATATGAAAAGTGAGCAGAGGGGAGAGGAAAACAGATGGGCTCTCCTGTCTCCTTAAACCTATATGTGAAGCAGGGGACATTTCCATTCACAGTATACAGGACCCTTTGTGAATGCGACATTTCATCTAAGTTGAAGAGATCTGTTCTAGGGGAATACTGTCACGCCCCACCTGCGGGAAGGGGAGAGTGACTAAGATCCGCAAATCCCCTCGGTGTGGATTAAGGTGAAATAGCACTCAAGGTCCACGAAACAAACTCCAACTTTAATGGCACAAACACTTCTATAAGCATCAACCCTCTATGTCTTAATATATATGACAAGCTAAGCGGCTTTGTGGTGAGTCGAGGTAGGCCTTGTATTACTTAACAACATCAAAAACGGAGAGCAGGAAGGAGAAGGAAAAAGAGAGAGAGCTGAGCAGCAGGAAAGAAGTAGAGAGAGAGAGACAAAGAAATCACCAGTCCTGGATCCAGCATCAGACCTGCCAACGGGGGGGGTTGGTGCGGAGAGAGAGTGCCCCTGGGGGCTCACGTGCGCCCCTATTTATTGGCTCCAGCCCAAGGTTTCTAGAGTCTTCTCTCACCCCAGCTCCAGGAGTGGTTGAGCCATTAGTCAGTCAAGGAGAGTGACACCGGGCCCCTCCCCGTGGCTGGCTTCTGGAGCTTTCCCTGGGGCATTGTCTGTGCTTACAGCACAGACACGTGGGCCTCGTCCCTTACAAATACCCTGCCATGTCTATTCTGTTCTGGCCTCAGGTAGTCCTGAAAAAGGCCTGTGGACAGTTGGGTTTTACACGTCTGTGATTCTTGAGGTTATCTTTGAAATGCCTCACTGAAAACATGTTCATCAAGGAGTGGTTGGGACAGTGAAAAGGTTTGCTTGCCAGACAAAGAAAGGGAAGGAGTTGCTACGCCTGGGAGCAGCACTGAAGAAGAAAAGTAGATGGAACAAGAAGTGGTGTTTGTGGAGTATCAGCTCTGGAATTTCAAAGGTTTTTTTGTTGTTTTTTTTTTAATTTTAGAACTGACCAGCTTGTTGGAAGATGGCATTTATTCCTGCTTGAAGCTGCTGTTCTGAAAACAAATAGTAGAAGAATGTGGAAGAATTCAAGCCTCCGCTGCCTTTTAGCTCTAGCTATTTTATGTTTAAGAAGCTTAATAGATAGCCAGGAGATAGGTGAGTTTATTGCAATGTAATTCACTAATTACTTTTTCTTTGTAGCTTCGGTACTGACACCATTTAATTACGTTGCTTTTCTGGCATGAGTATGTTCAAAAACCGTCACCTCTGTGGTCCCACACCATCCTAGGGATGGAGGTACTACCAGGCCTGGTCTCTGCTTTCCAGCAACCAGTGGCATCTTATAAACGAGTGCAAAGTTGGGTGTTAAATTCTCCATAATGCAACTGTGATAGTCTACATATGCAGTTGGTGTAAATGTCCGCATTGAGATCTTCTTGCTGCATATGTCAGCTGTCTGCGACAATTTCACACATTATCATTAATTGCCCTTCTGTCATTAATTGCCCTCCATGTGGGACAACGGAGGAGAGCAAAGAACTCATTAAGTTTATCATCAAAGCTTGCGGTTTTGCCATTGGCCCAAAGCCTGCTTATTAGTCTAGGCTAGGAACGGGTATTGTGGAAAGAGACAGCTGCCTGTGTTGTAGCACACAAGTATAAACCCAGATTTTAGGTACTTGTAGAAATCTGGCAGTCTGTGGCTGTCTGTAATCAGGCAAACAAATCATTCAACAGTTCTAAAATGCTGGCCAGACATGCATGCAATAAAAATGTAAAAAGAATGGCTATAGGTGTGAACAATAGCAGTTGTTTTACAGTTGGTCATTTTTGACCTGCAGTTTGTGACTGTATTTCTTATATGATTTCAGGTTCCCTGGGGCACGCCCAGAATTTGAAATGTGTAACACACAATTTACGTAAAATGATCTGTACTTGGGATGTCTCTTCTAAAGGAAGACGTGGACAAACTGACTTTTGCTACACTACAAAGTAAGTCCCTGTATACCTGGTTGAAAACTACCAAATTGTGATGAAAGTATAGTTATTCCTCAGTCACTGTCCATGGAATTTGTGATGCTGTTGTTTCCCAGCATCTCCCCATCAGTTTTCCTTGGGTGGTGCTCCCTCCAGGCGCTGTTAACTCAGGCAATGGCGGGGTTTCTGGCAAAGTCTTGTTTCATCCTAACAATTCTCCTGCCAAAATCTCCTGCTTGCTCTCTTAAAAGGACTGGAAGATGCTCTCGTTTACTCAGACTTCTCTGTGTGTCTGCCTAGCCCTTGCTCAGAGTTTTCATGAGGGACATCTTCATACCAGGTTCAATCCAAAAGGAAATGATAGTTGGAAGAAGCAAATCCTGATGTTGTGGGCCAAAGCGGTAGAATATATGACATAAGTGTTGAGATTCACGTGGAAAAACATGAAAAATATCTTCGTGGCTGTCTTATAACCTTTATAAATTTTAAGCTGACTGGAGAGCATTGTATTAGAGGACACGTAAAAATTATTCCACAATTGCAATAGCGTTTTCAAAGTGAATGAATGCAAGTTGAAAATTTTGAGAAACATTAAAAAGCTTAGATCTTCAGTGTGTTTTTCACTAATGAGAACTACATGTGCAATTCCCCATGCTGTGGGTCTGCCAAATACTTATCATGTGCTAGGGATGAGTTCAAATCCTTTTTGCATCTTGATCCTGCCCCTAGTCCAGATATTTGTACTGTCTTTTTTCCTGTAAATTCTGCAGGCAGCCCAGACTTGTCCTTGGGGTCCCAGGGCTTGGCTGCACTTCTTCCACCTACATGTTTGATTTTCTGTGTCTACTTATTCCTCCTGCATTGCCAGCTATCATTTCTATACGAAAAACCCACATACATGTGACACTGCGGCCAGAGTTCAGGAGTGCAGAGTTCATGAGGTACTGCCCTCTAAACGAGAACAGCCATGTAGCTGCTGCTGTTTCTCCTTAGCAAAGCAGAACAGGCTTGGGTCCCTGAAGCAGAGAGGCAGAGGGCTGAGCTTAGTACAGACCTCCCTGAGGGAAAGAGGTTTTGTTTTTCAGTTGCCCAAACATCCTCTAATAATATCTCAGTACAGAAGAGGAATAGCCTTTCTGAGCACTCAAGTCTCAGCTGGCCTTCACTAGCCCAGAGTCTTGCATGAATCTTAAAAGTTCAACCCAAGCTCTTGACTCCAGCCAATGGGAGCTCCAGGGTCCTGTTCCAGTTCATAAGTGAGTAACCGTCCCTCAGCAGGAAGTCTGGCATTGTTCTCTTTGCTTTCCTTCCTCCCGTCATTCCCTCAAGAGGAAGGTCTGGATTTTTCCAAACATTTTGCCTTTCTAGTTGCGTATCAATGATAATGAGCAAAGGGACTTGACCCATCCATTATTGTTTCCTGTATGCATCTACCACCACAAAGGCCAGATCACATTGTGCTGAGCACTGCACAAACATTATGCGCAGACCGTATTTCCATCTGGGATTTTAGCAGTTCTCTCCCCTGCTCTCTGCTCTTTCCCTACGAGCTGAGTAGCAGAAGGGAGCTAAAAGATTTGTTCTGAGCTGGGGACACAGATGGGTGAACCTGCTCTTTGCACCCATATGCCATCATTTTGAGAAGAAACGGAGGGAGAGGGAGACAGGAAACATAAAGGGAAGGGGACATACTGTTGGGGTTTGGGGGATTTTATTTTGCTTATTTTGAAATATTGATTCATGGTGACTGTAGGTTTCAGAAATGTGTCTTTTGGTTAAAAGTCAGTTTTTCACTTTGAGGTGTTCTCTTAACAACTAGGTAGCTGCATTATACAACTAGTGCAGAGGGAATGCCCATTAATCTGCTACTAACCAAAGCCCATGTTTCCTTCACAGGCTTGATATGGAGCTCTCTGTTATATTACAGAGAATTTGTGTTTTACTAGTGTCCTAGGAATAGGGTTTAACTTGCCTTAGCTTCCTATCAGCTGAAATACCTGCTTAATCCTCTCTGTCTTTTCAGTGACCTCTCCCCTCCAGTGTGTTTTAAAACTAAGGAGAAAAGGGTTGAGATTCCAGTCCCAGAGAGCTCCACCACACTGACAATAACCACAAACAGTGTTTCTGGAACTGCTTTTGCCACCAAAGAATTTGAAATTCACAAGAAAGACATCTGTAAGTATCAGGTTTTATGTGTGCACATAAGGCCTTTATACTATGATTAACAATGCTCCAGAAGTGTTTATGCTTGCAGTTTTCTTTGGCAGTGTTCCTGTATGTAAAATATTGATGTGCTGAGTCCAATGAATTTACCATATCTAATAGGTTGTTTTCTCTCCCCCTTCAGGGGAAAGAAAACCCCTGTTATCCATAGATCATAGCAGAGAAATCAAGGGCAGAATGTGAGGAGGAAAACAAAGTACAACACTGTCACATCCCCCTAATCACTCTTCTCCTTTTTTTTTTTCCTAATTGCAAATTAGAAAAGATTTGTAAACAGGTTCCTAATCTACATACAGAAGTACCTGCATGAGGCATAAAGTGCATTTGCTTAGACTTGACTTGGGAAAGGGACAATAAACTTCCCAGTGCCTGTTCTCCCATTTTAAATGCTGAACTGGTACAGAATTAAGTACTTTATTCCTGCAATTTCACAACATTTTAAGGGCAGTTATATCATATGTCACTCCTGACAGGATCATATTTTCTCAATATATGCCCAACTTACCCATTCTGTTCAAATGTATATGAAACTGAGCAAATACATTTATGCTTGGGAAGTAGGCTGCATCATATTGGAGTCATAGATAAATTAGACTTTTTACCACTTCCTTCCTCTCAAAGGAGGAAGTTGTAAGCTGAAGATGGCATTGACACCATCTGTCACACTTGCTCATAATTTCGTCTTTGGTTTCGGTCTGCCTGCTTATTCCTTTAGTGCAGTCAAAATCTAAAGTCAGTAGCACTTCTTATCCATGGCTCAGTTTTCTCTTCAGTTGAGAGCAGCTCAAGAACTTTAGCAAAACACAACTCAAAAATATGTGGGCAACACACTGGGTTCTCCAGCGTCTTGCTGACTCCAGGCAGGACAGGTTTCTCAGGTTCATCACAGGTTATCGGGGGTAGCGTGTTGACTGAACACGCTGGGGTTCAGCGTGAAGCTGAACACTTCGCAGGCTCGCAGAGCCTTGGCCAGGACTGAAGTTGAATAAATCACACATTTTAAAAACAGGATTTATCCTGCACCAGGCCCAGTGAACTGCCATAATGCTTGAACTGCCATAACCCTTGCCTGCTTCTCAGCCTCTTGCTTTACCACCACCCATTTGTAGAAGAGATGCTTCTGTTTAATCTCCCTTTCCTGTCCCTATCACCATGTCATGCCTTTAATATTTCTTGTAGCTTAAAATCACATTCCCCATGATCCTCTTCAGAGCCTCATGTGAGCTGCTTCCACCCTGTGCTTCCGCTCTCCTTTCTCCCTACTCTAGCTTTTGTTGCAAGTCCCCTCTTCCCTGCTGGTCTCCAAAATCCAATTCTTCCTTTGGGGGATTTTCCATCATCCTCCCTAGATGTGTTCTCATGTACACTTCAAGGACTTGTCACCATGTTTCCTTCATCTCTGCGGCTTTGAATGAAGGTTGTGAAAGATATGATGTCTTCCTTACTATGCATTATGAAGAGTCATATTCATGATCAGTTACTCACACATCTGCATGTTGAGATGTTAGAAGAAAATGCTACCTGGTGACTCATCAGCACCTGTGCTTTCCTGGGAACTTTCATGCTCAAGTAATGACAGAGCCCATCTTGTTCTAATTACAGAGGTTGAGTTACATGTTTGTATGGCTACTAGCCGGCTGAGAGCAGAGAGATGTGGCTGTTAAACACCTGTAGGGCTGGTGTTGCTGACTAATGACCTGAATATGGCTTTTTTCCCCTCTCTCTTTTTCAAGCATTTGTTCCTCTCACTCCACGTATTCTTAGTTTAACACCTGACTTTTCAACTTCCACATTAAATCTGAAGTGGAGCGATAATGGATCAATCTTCCCATACGGACTGGATGCCTTTTGGCAGATTCAGGTACTCCGTAAAGAAGCAATGGAAAAAGTCACACAAGTAAGTCCTTTTCCTCCTTTATGAAAAATATATATACAATTTTTGCCCTTGGTAATATTCTGGGAGGTCATTTGAAGAAGGCTGAGAATAATGAAGATTGTAGATCTTTGCAGAACCTGAGTGTAGTCATGCCTCTGGTAGGTAACTTCTTGTTAAGTTTCAAAGTTACGAGGACGCTGGCTACTATACTGTCAGTACTTACTCACCGTCACAGCTTTTTTTTTTTTTAATCTAGTACAGGGTTTTTTTAATTAGAACTTGCTTATGAATTTGGCAGGTATTTTACACCATTATCTCTGCTTTGCTTCTCCAACAGCGTCTCAAGCCTTGGTGGTCTTTGAATGTTCAGTTTGCCTTTTTTTTGCAACCACAGTTATTCCGGCCAATTTATAGCTCTGTTCTATAATTTTTAGGAATGGAGAAAAGATAAAATGTGTACCCTGGGACTAATATTACAAGAGTTTCATTTTGGAAAAGTTGGAACATTTCCCTGCCTGGGAGAGGCCCAGGATACTGGGATGCAATATATACCTTTTGAAATGCTTGGCGAGCTTCCTGCTCTCCCTCAAATATCTGCGCTCTGGTATTTTTGACTGGCAGTCTACCTGGCTGGTGGGCTGTTTAGCATCTTAGGCTTTTGTCCAAGTAAATTCACAACACAACTGAAAGTTAGGTGGGACACTCCAACCATCTATCAGGATTTTGTGATTTACTTCACTTAATTTGCCATTCTGTTGACACCTGTGAGATTATAGGTCATTGGTAACAGGTGTTCATAAACTCTCTCTTGGTTGTTTTTTTGGGGGAAAATTTTGCAGGTAACTTACTATTCAAAACTGACTCATGAAGACATCGTTCTTTCTTGGAACTGGACATCAGATATGCCTTTGGAGTGTACATCGCATTATGTGAAGATTCGCTGTTATTTTAATGTAACACAGTTTGTTGGCCCCAAGGATTGGAGTGACTGGAGCCCAGTAGAAGAGGTCCCTGGTATGTTTGTTCCCTTGCCACCACATGGACTTTGATTTCTTTATGTAAAGCAAGCCAAAGTCAGAGGAAAAGCGCTAGGCAGTGATGGGCTGCTGCTCTTGGGGGTGTTTTGATGAGAGAAATAATGTAATCATTAGCTAATGAAACCTAGTTAACATCGATTTGTATGCATTGGAGTGCTCCTAAGTCACATTTTAGCTGATCAGCACCATGTTTATAGCAAATTGTTTATGTGAGGGTTTTTTGTTTGTTTTTCTTTTCTGTTCTTCCTTCTCTGCTAGGAAAAGATACCGAGCCCAGTGGGAGTGGGGTATTTCCTCAGGACACCGTAGTGGCAGTAGGTTCAGATGTGACAATTTGTTGTGTCCATGAAGAAGGACAGCAGATACAACGGATGACTTACGGATCAGAAATATACCCAATGATACATCTGAGCAGTCGGAGCAGTGCAATCAGAGTGCTAAATGCCAGTGCTTCAGATACCAGTGGGACAAATGTAGTGTGCATACTGTCCGAAGATGGGATGGATGGAACTGTCTTGTTTGTAGGATGTATGTATCATTATGTTTACTAACCTTAGGAAAATCAAAATAATTTTGAGACTCTTAGGGTTCTGCTAGGAAACAAATATTATTGAGGCTTTTTTTTTTCCCCTGGCCTTTGGTTTCTGAGGATGAATTGGGATTGTACTTGTTTGATTTCACTGTGGAAGTTCCAGCCCATGGAGAAGACACCAAGGCTGGATGGGGAGGTACCCATGTAAGCCCTCTTCTCTTAGAACCTGGCCCAGTGCTTCTCTCCTTGATCTCTTTTTCTAAGACACTTCTTCATGATCTGGAATACTTAGTAGTTTATTGCCATATGAAGATTCATTCTCAGTCTCTATCACTTTAGGTTTACATCTGTTCTAGTTTGGTCCATGACAAGGCGAGAGTAAGAGCAACAATTGTAAGTGAAAACATTCATTTACCAACCAGTCAAATGAAGACAATAAAACAGTCAGACTTGCAAAAACAACAGATGCTCATCCAGGGCAGCAGCTCCCTGGGAGCTAATTACAGCAAAGGAACCCAGCTGACAGTTCATCTTTCCTGGAAAACCTTCTAAATATTCTTTCAGTGTTTTCTTTAAAGATACTGAATCACTGTGTGTCTTCTCTGTGTAACCATGCCAGCCTCAGAAATCTCTTCCCAATACAGATACCTCTTAAAACAAACTACTGAAAGTACCTGGTTCTTCTTTCCCATAATTGGTCACTTCAGAGCTTTGTGTGTTTTTCCCACAGGGGTTTTGAGAGTTATCATCTTCCAATAGCTGCTGATTAGAACCCTGTTCCCCATGACAAATGTCTGCCTTTGAATTTAGGGTCCTTGGGGTTCAGGGAAAGGAGAGGAGAAACTGAACTAATTTGAAAGTGTGTTCCCAACTCCAGCCTGTGCCTCCTGTCATTGACTTTGTGTATTAAGTGTGCAATAGCAAATGCAAAACAGAATCCAACCTTTTATGACTTCTCAGTGAGATGCCATTTTTACATTATTTGTGCAGTATTTGCTTTTGTGGGGGAATCTTCCAAGTAAATAAGTCAGTGGTTCATGAATGAAGGCTGTGATAATCCCATAGGTTTTTCCCATACAGTGTTTTTTGAAGAGCTGGGATGTGGTGAAGTCTTGTTTCCTGCCAGTGTTTCTTCTTGTGGTACCTACTTAGTGGGAAGGGAGAGAACTTGTCATGATGCTCATGCTGATGGGAGACATTTGGGGAAGAAAAGGTAGAGGAAGTAAATGTGTATGCACACCGCCTTGGTTAAGCCTAGGCCTGGCAAAATAAGTGTTCTTTTTGGCTTGCCGCTCATAATCTGAACTAAGCCTGCCACTGTTGCCTCTTGTGTTAGTGCCCCTTCTCTAGGGCAGCTATGTGGACGTTATTTTGCTACCTTTTGGAGAAAAGTGTATGAGAGTTGAAATAAGTGCTCTACTTAGTCTCACGTTAGCCTGATTACCCTCTCTGTTGGGAGCACTGCCCACCTTCTCCAGGAAGGCACTCAACACTGCTCTAGTATGGGAGCAAAGAACAAACTTTAAAAGAAAAAGATGGGCACTTCCAAAGCAACGGTGAAGAGGACAAGCCGTTCGGGGCTTGCTTTAACTTTCAAATTCAGTGTGGAATTCATGCTAAAGGGAACATCTCCTTGACATGACTTGCTTGGAGAATTCAAAGCAGCGGTGGGGCTGGCATGTAAGATAATATGACGCACAGCCAACAGCATTCCTGCATTGCTCAGCGGCTAAACTGATGCTTAGAATTTTGGAAAAGTCTTGGCAGAGTTTCAGTGAAACACTTCCAGGTCAGAGCCTGGAGCTTGTGAACATATTTGCATTTGATTTACCAGATTACCCACCCACTTAGAAGCCTAGAGTCAAGTGTTAGTCAGATGGGGCTGATAATAATTATCCATCTGTTTTACTGGGATTTTTTTTAAGCATATTATTTATATGGTTGGAGCATAACTATTACCATGTATTTGTGAGGCACACAATCTAGACCCAGCAAAAACGAATGGTGATGCTTTCAGGAAGCTAGTGTCCCAACTGTCACACTAGGCTGGCAAAACATTGGCTAACTATTTTGGTTTCCTTTCATGCTACAGATGCCCCTGATATTCCACAAAACCTCAGCTGTGAAACATCCAACTTCCTGGTAATAAAATGCACCTGGAAACCAGGCAGACCCAGTGGACTATATGGAAAACGAAGAACAAACTACAGTTTATTTGAAAGGTAAAGCAATTCAGCACTAAAAAGAGTAAAAGGGTAGAACTGGAATATATCCATTGCTGCCAGTGACTTACTGCACCATGCCTGCTTAAATGAGATAGTCTCCATTGTTTAGAGCCTAAAATACTTTTCAAGAGTTTGTGGAAGCTGAAACAAAACTAAACTTGGAGAACCCTCATCTAGCTCTGCAGAATTCCAATGGGAATTAAGGATGGCTTTTCCCAAAGACTTAGGCCATTATGAACTCATGAGAAAATAAAGGGCTGAGTGTGTCAGGCTGCTGCCAACATGTAGATAAGACCAATATGAAAATGCAGGGAGATAGTAGGAGTCATTCACTAGTTTTTAAAATTTTTTTATATGCAACCTGTGTCAGATCATCTGCCAGATATTTACTGAGCTTCTGCTATGCAGGATGACTGAAACTCACTAAGGAACTACTGTAAGACAGGCCATGGGGCATTTCCCAAATACTACTAGGGAAAAAGCAATAAGCCTACACCTGTTCTCCTCCCAGCATTAAGAACTAGATAGTGTAGAGCAGGCAGAATGCATGTTACCTGGAAAACATTGAAATGGAAAATAACACTGGCATCATCCACAGAAAGGAGTGAAGACTGGTGTCCCACTAGTTTGTCTTACATCATAGGCCATGTAAAGCCTTAAAAATGAAGAATCATTGTTTTGGAATAGCACTTGTAAATAGGATTCCTTGGTGGTTGTGATTAGAAGTTAGGAGTTAACAAAATTCTCGTGGCAAGGAGGCTCCCTGGTAATGCCAAAGGAGCAGTCAGGGAAAGGAGCCAGGAGAGGCCTGAGTCACACAATCTGATGGGAAATGGAGTCTCATGGTGGCTTTGAAGCAAGTCAGAGGCAATGAGGATTGAGTTACAGTCGCAGATGTCATCCAGAATTCTAGTGCTAAAAAAGTCATTGGATAGGGTGCAAAGAGGTGGACAAAACAGGGCAGGTATTCAGAAGAAAGGAGCTCCAGTCACTGGCTGCCCATATTCAGCTCATAAACGAGGATGTAGTTCAGACTTGTTTCGCTCAGCCCAAAGCTGTGAGGAGATTAATGTGATGCGTTTCAGGGTAAATATTCTCATCCTTGTTCTCAGCCCACACTGAGCTATTGAAATAGAGAGTATGGTGCGGAGAAAGCTCAGAGCTCAGCTAGAACACAGAAAAAATGCCCGAAGGAAGAAATTAAACTTGTGCTACTGAATGAGAGGTTTACACAGATCATAATTAAAGCAACTTCTATGTATGTACATACAAACAGATACACACTTTAGATTTTACCCCTAAAGATGTAACTTTGGTCTTGGCTGTTACCAGACTGCCTCCCCTACTTGTGATTTAAAAATGACTGGGACTAGTGGATGTATCCCAGCTAACAAACCTTAGTTTAGATTTGGCAGGGCTGATGATAGAAAGACGTAATGTGTGTGCATCTCCCTAGTTCAAAAAGCAATTAAGAACATTCTTTAAATGCAAATATATGCTGATCTGAACAAAGATACTTTAAATCAGAATCTTAGTTGTGACTTGTGAGGTGGTTTTACAGGACCTACCTGTTTTCCAGGCTTTTGAGAAGTGAGAGGATGGAAATGTTATGCTAGTGGAAGAGGAGAGTTTCACGTGAGAACAGGGCAAGTCATGACTGATGCCACTTTAACCTGCGTTGTGGTGTTAGATATGCCTCTGCAATCAAATCATTCTGTAAGCCATGTGTCAGTGAACCCATCGTTCTTTACTGTGTTTTCAGTCTAGACTTCTGACTGTTGCTAGAAATTATCTTATTCAAAAATTAAGTTGTTCCCCCGCTTTTACTTTGTAGAATATCTGGTAAAAATGTTTCATGCGAAATCAATGAAATGAACAGAGAGCGTGTCTGTGGCTTTCCAGTACTGGCTGACCAAAAAACTTACGATTTCATATTAGGCGTCTCCAATCCTATCGGACAAACAGAGTCATCGCTTTTGGTTGATTTAACTCAAAGAGGTAAGACTTAAGAATTACAAAGGCAAAAAGATATGTTTATTGCATGCTAACCATTTCTTTATTTTAGGTTTGAAGCAGTCTGACATGGTATACTTGTCATTACTTTGCTTTATTGTCACCAATATTTTGCCATGTTCAATAATTTGAACTTGAAAAGAAAATAGCTTAGGACGTGTCCTGAAGCAACGATTAGGTGTACAGGGCCAGTTCTTGACAGCAATGCTACCAGATTGGATACGCTGCTATGTGGATAAATGCTACTTGTGATCTAATAACTAGCCAGCTGCTGTTGTTGTAATACATATTATTTCATATTCTATTACACATCAATAATTAAAATTTAGGTGTAACTTTATGAACTGTGAGTGACCCTGTATTTCAGTGTCTGCTTATAGGGCAAAATATTATGCAAGTTTGTAACAGCAGGATTTGGAGCATAAAAAAAGTAGCACTAAAAGGTAAAAGGTAATAACGGGAGTATTACCTGCTATTGGTAATAGCCATGATCATCTGCTATAGTGGTTTGTAGAAAGAAATTACTTCTTTCACTAGACCTTCAGTTTAAAAAAGGAAAGGGAGAAGATGACCACCTTTCTAGTGCTGTCTTCTCTGTCCTTTTCCATCTGCCTCCACAACCACAATTGAGGACTCAGGGGTTCCTAATGGTTACAGAATTCCGCTGTTCTCTCTGAAAAACTGAATTTGAAATTGAAGATGGTGCGGTTTTTTTGTCCGTGTCCCAGTTCAAGTAGCCTGAGGTTAGAATTGTCAGAGTGAATTGGCGGGTCCTAAAAAGGCATAATTTGTTTCTGTTAATTATAAACTGGGCTGTTTTGCACCCAGTTGATGCGACTGCTATTTCCTATTTGTTTCCTTTCCTTTCTTTCCCTCACTGTCCACTTAATTCCCAACATAGAGTACATATTTCCTTAAGGGTAACTGGACCAATTCCAACAGTAGAGATTTTTTTCTCTGATAGCTATGAATAGTAGTACTGAATATTATTGAAAAATTCCATGAAGGGGGTTTTGGGGAGGGAGAGGTCATTCAGGAGTCCTACCCTGTCCTAGTCTGCAGATTTTAAGTTCTAACTTACAAAGTTCCCAGAAGGTGATCAAAGTTGAATGAGTTTCATCCGTCACTGTGGTCCTCTGACATAGCTCATGTTTCGCTTTTTTGATAAAGTCAGTAGGAGGCAAAATGTTTTTCTGTGTCTCCAACTCCTTATCACACATGCTAGTATGCTCAGCCTTAAGTAAATCTGTTCCGATGTTTGATAGCTGAGAAGAGCATCAGGAATGAGACTGCTTGCAAGTGCCTTCCCAGCACCAGCTGTCCTAGTTGCTGATCAGATTGCTTCTTTATCCTTCTGATTCTCTTTGATCTTTTAAAATCAGATTTTTCTGAACTAAAGTGAATGTTTTTTTTCTTAGAACTGAAAGTTTTTTCTTTATATTTTAAGTTCATCCAAAAACTCCAGAAAAGTTAACTGTTTCTGGGAACAGCTCTACAAGCGTCCGTCTGCGTTGGTTTATAAATGGCAGCTTTGCTGAGATCAGGCTTCTGTGTCAAATTGAAATTAGCAGTGGTCACTATGAGCGAAAACTGGTAAGTGTTGCTTTTAATGGATTTTTTTTTTTTGGCTCAGATGTTCATCTTTTTCACTGAACTAATTACATTTCAAATTCTTTTCTCTCTTAAGAGCTTCATTCTGGTCATCTCGTTAAATGATTAATGTGGTAATGACTAGAAGTTCATCTACTAAAATCAGAAAAAGTTCTGCTCACCTCTGTTGCCTGCTTTCTTTTTTTTTTGATTGGTTTTAAACAATTTAGAGGAAAGTCAAATTACCCACCGTGTTATTTGGTACTTCGAGAGGGTGCATAGTGCTTTATGCTGACCTGTTAGGTAGCAGTCCTTGTGCTTTGTCCTTCCTCGTGCAAACTGTATTAACACAAGCTTGTTCCAGGATGCGCTGCTGCCCTGCAGACTTCCGCAGTGGTTGTTTCAGATTGCCACTTGCAATCCATACTTGAATTTCTTCTTTTTTTTTTTTTCCCCTCGGAGAACAGTGCATTTGCTTGCTGTCAGCAATTGACATGCATGTGGCTGAAACACGGAGCTGCTAAACCTGCTCATATGTCAGTGGTGTAGAGGCAGGATAGGGAAGGGTTCTCCCACTGGGTGTATCAGTAGGTAATCCCCAGTGAAGACCTCTGCAGCTGGAGAGAAGGTGGTGTTTCTGGGTGGGGTTCAGATTTTCCAGCATTCAGGCTTCCAGCTGCTGCCCAGCTTTGGTGTTCTGCGTCACTGACTGGAGCTGTGTATTTACTCTGCTGACTGTCAGAGGAGCTTAGGATACTAATTTAGACACCAGCATCAGATACTGAGTGTCAGTGGTGGGAATATATCCTCTTCTTCCGTATTGCCTAACGTAGTGCGGGGTGACCTGTGTCACTAGGGAAGCCTAATGGCACAACTGCACGTCTGGTTGGCCTGAGGTTTACCCCCAAATTCTGTGTTTGTGCATTCAGATGGAATATCTCTGACCAGCTTGGGTAGGCACATGCTGAATTACCAGGTCTTGGTGCACAGAGCCTGAATTTGTAATTTGAGCACATTAACTTCAGAGGCTGCTTTTTACAACACTTGTTTGATTTTTAGCAGGAGTATTCTATTACCCACTGCATTTAGTTGCCTGTTGGGCACAGCTTTGGTCACAGCCTTGAATAAAGTAGCTCAAGCCACAGAAGTGATGCAGCTAAGACTGAAGATAATCATTATATACATTGCTTCTAAAATAATAGGGTAGTAGTTAATGCATGCTCTGTATTTTTAAAATACTTTCAAAGCATTTAATGAGTGTGGAAGCCTTAAGCTTTTATATTTTCTCCGTAATGACATGTGTTAAGTAGTACCCAGAGATTAGGTACTGCAAAGAAAATTGTAGATACATTTGGAATTAAAAGCAGAAGGAACTGGCTTTTAGATGTACATAACAGCTCTGACAGATGAGCTATGTTGGATTTTGGTGTATAGTCTGAGATACCATCACCCACAGTTGTCTGCATTTCTCTGCTCCCAACAGTTACTGCTTCTGGAGCAGTCAGCAGGGGGAACAAACACCGAAGTGTCACCCACCCCCAGCTCCATTAGCTTAAACTGCTAAAAAAGTAGGTTTGCACAGTTCTGTCTAGCCACAGTTATGCTGCTCGAAGCCTGGCGCACATACTTACTTGCTTGTGAACTCTGCTACCAGGTTAGTAATCTGGGGCAGTGGGAGATGGTAAGGTCTTATGCTGCCACAGCAGTTTGATTCACTGCACCTGTATCAGACCCCACAGCTACAGATATTTTGAAACACAGCAAACAGCTTGGTAGAAGCTTTTACAGCCGTGTTATGTTGTCTCTGGTTGCTTAATAAAAAACCTCCAAGAGTTCCCTGTAATAAACAAAAGTAGCTGTGAAATTGTTATGGGATTTTACATGGCATTTTGAGGATGTTTTCAGAAGCTTTTTTTATATTTTTCAAGTTGTCATTTGGCTTTAGAAATGCACAATTAGTTGCAGCTTAAAGTCACTTGGAGTCCAGTTTTTGGCAGCTGTGATGCACATGTGTTATAATTAGATTCAGTAAAAAATATTCCCAGGCTTAGGGTTTGTTTAAGTAGTCATGAAACTGAAATATGCCCTAGACTCGCACAGTTTTAAGAATAACAGGAGAGATTAGTCCTGTCATAAGAGTTGTGAACAGAGATCACCTGGGTAAGAGTTGGATACTATCTTTTGAAGAAAAAAGGGCTGCCTAGGAAGAAGACTGCATGATAAGCATCTTGCTCAGGCTGTCTTTAGCATGCTTCTGTGCATATGTCTTAGGAAAAAGGCCTTTGTCCACCCAGTTTGATGTGCACGTGCACAGTGGAAGTGCAGGTTCTGAATACCGGAGGTGAAATCCTGGCCTGCCTCACGTGAACAGAAGTTTTGCTGCATATAGGAGAGGGGGACCGGACGGGATAGATGGGAAGCAGCAGCCTGCTACTGTATGCAGAGCTCATCCCATTGAAGGCTCATCTCCTTTTCATGTTTTACATCTCAAATATGCTACCTACTGTCATATTTCAGCTTCTGTGCTATAGATTACTTCATTTTGGCAGATCTCTGAAAAATTTTCCTTTGTTTAGTGTGACTGCATAGGAAATATTTTTCTTTTTCATTAATTTCTTTGTAGGGCTTGACTGCAGCTTTTTTTTCACAGTCGGTATTTTTGGGGAGAAATATCACCTTTTTAGGTGTTAACTTTCAGCGTAATCTAGGAGCAAAAAAAATATGTGTAACGTCAATTTCTGTAAATTTTTAACAGCACAATGTCTCCATGCCTGGTGGAAAATTCTCAACTTACACAGCTCAGCTGAACGCATTGCACCCATATACCAAATACCAGTTGAGGGTGCGCTGTTCGGCTGCTGACCACTTCTGGAGGTGGAGTGGCTGGAGCAGGATAGAGGAGCACACAACACTGGAAGCCCGTAAGTTTATTTAATTCTTTGTTGATAAAATGTTGAAATTGTGAAGCCATATATTTTAAAATTAGCCATCTAAAAAGCTAACTTTTTGATAGATGGTAAATTGTCTACTGTGCAACTTGGAAAAAAAAATTCCAAAACTCTTTTTTTTTTTTTTTTTTTTCCTCCTTAGCTCCTGCAAGAGGACCAGATATCTGGAGAGAGAGAATTCCTTCTGGAAAAATTCTAAAAATCTTCTGGAAGGTAGATAGGACACTTAAAGTTTTAAAATATTATGTAATGTAACTCTATGAAAAACTATTTCCTTACATATTTTTAAATGAGTGAAGTTTACAGTCAATAAATCGGACTGCTTTTCTTAACTTTTTATAGAACCATCCATTGAGACAATTATTTTTCCCCAAATGAGAATATTATTAAAGTTTTATAATTTAAACATTGCATTGAGAAGCATTTCACATGAAGAATTAAATTTTTAATACATCCCAGCTGAAAAGTAAATTCTCAAAGTCACTCTTTTCTGCCTCGTAGTCCTATACATTCATCAGACTAGATCAGGACATTAAACTCATATTATCCTATGTCTTCTTTTGTTTATTCTGTTTTGGTTTTAATGGGCTCCTCTTTGTCCGTTCATAGCCTTTATCCCTTTCTGAAGCCAATGGAAAAATAGTGTCTCATGAAGTGTCCTGCTACCTGCTAGAGACACCACTGGAGTATAAAGAAGTCACTGAACCCTCAAACAGTACTGAGATAAAACTTGGAAAAAATGACTGTGTAATTAGTGTTGTAGCCAAAAACCATGCAGGCTCGTCTCCTCCCTCGAGGATAACGAGCGTGGAACTTCCAAGCGGTGAGTGCTCACAGCAGAGAGCTAAACACTTTCAAAGCTTGGGGAATACCTGGGCGAGTTTGTTTATTGAAAAATAAGATGATAACATGCTTTGTTTGTTTGTGTTTGGTTTCTGGTTTATTTCCCCACCCAAATCTACTGCGTAGGGGAAGAAAAAAATGGCTGCTTTGCTTTCAGGGTAGCAGGTCGCACCTATTAAGTGTGCTGTCTGCATAAAAGGAGGGTGATAGTGTGCAGTCTCTGCAGCTATTTGTGCTTTTCTGGACATCTCCCAGGAACAACAAGAATGAGGCTTCAAAGCATTAGTGTCAATCTCAGATGTTTAGGGACCTGAGTTTATTTCTGTGTGTTCTTATTGAGACGCTGAAAAGTTTTACATGCTAAAGAGAATCAGAATAAAGTTTTGGAGGTGTTGTGTGGCTTTTTAAGGGGAGAGTTGTCAGTTCAATGCCTGTGAGCTCTGGAGAAGAATATTAATTGGTCTGGTTGGTAAAGTGTTGGCACCCTTGTGCTAGGAGCTGGGGTTTGAAAAGGAGGTAGGACTTCAGCTTCCCAAATAAAATGCTGCCACTTTTGCTGTGAGCTTTTGTAAAGGGAAATAGCTGAGCCAGATGATTTTCTGCTCCTAACACTGAGCTTGGGGAGAAGATAGTATTGCATGTGGCTGTTGAGAGTCCATGCTTCCCTGCACACCAGGAAGAGTGTATCTCCCAAAGCCCAAACCTTTAGCTCCAGATCTGCCTGATGCTCTGCAGGGAGGACATATTTACACAGCAAGGCCCCTCTCTGCTTGTTTGCCAGGAGCATGTACGGTGCTGCTTCTCCTTCCACACCCAGAGAACAGGTATCACAGTTGCCCGTCTTGCAACTCAGGTTCTGATAAGACAGTGCCATCTCTCGCAGGAAGAAACACGCTTTGGCTGAGATTCACAATGAAATACAAGTTTGTTTCTATGCAAAGGAAAACCATTGCTCCTAATGTTTCTTGTGCTTCTCCGAAACACCAAACCTAAAAGTATATTCTTAGTCTGCTCCTTGGTGGGAAAAGTAGTTGTATGGGACAGCTGAATGAATGAAAATGCTTTTATAGCTCTCCTTCAGCAGTGAAAGAACGAGACTTTGGGAGTCGGGGAGGTCTCCGTAATAGGTTTGTGGTGTGGGACAGCTGATGGCAGCTGGAGCTTTGCATTCATTTGTAGCTTTCTCTCAGATGTCTGAGGTTCCCTTTGGTGTTACCCAACTTGTACTTGTTGAAGATTTGCTCCCAAGTTGGTATAGGAATTATCTGAGTCACTGGCTGGAGTCATGAAGGATGACTCATTCACTGAACTGGATGACATTTCTGCCCAAACATCTTTTCTGGCTGCTTCCTGTGTACAGTCTGTAAGTGCTTTTAACGTCCGTAAGAGAGCAGTGGCTCTGAAGCTTGAGATCTGCTGAGGTTTTGTGAAAACTGAAAACACAAACAAAGGGTGCTCTGCCTTAAATAATTTCTCGCTGTCTCTGAAAAGTGCTCTGTAGGGAGTTGGGGCATATAATCTGGCTGTTACAGGCTCCCCTACCACAGTAGTACTGTAGTGCTAGTAGTTATTTCTACTAGTCTAGGTTGCAGCTATAAATACACCAAAATGAGCAGTACTGCCCTGTGTGAATTTCTAGTCATCTGGCTCAGGAACTTAAATTGAGTGTGGTGTATTTAAGCATTTTTTAGAGAGTATGTGCTCACTGTCAGTAGAAAGTCTTTCCTGTAAATAGGAAAATTAAAGCAGTCTAATTAGAAATAGACTCTCTTCCAGCGTCATAGAAGTGTAGTTTCACTGGATGCATAGTAGTTTTTTAGGGAAAAGTATTGAAAGACTTCTGGAAAGACTGGACTTGTCTTTTTTCAGTCATGTGTGTCTTTCTTGCGATGAGCAAAATAGAGAAGGATTGTACACTTAGCTGTATGTTAAGATTATTTAGAGAGTCCTTCGACATTCACAGCACATCTGTGAAAGTAAAGTTTTTACAGCACTGCTTCTTAAAAACTGCCCTTGCCCTTCAGCCTTCCATAGTTTATGGCTTTAATAACATGAAATAATAGACTCAATAGGGAGCATAAATGAGAACACTGAAAAAGGAAAAACTGAGACCCTGAGATTGTTTTTGCAGATCTGTCATAGGGCGACAGCTGTTGCGGTGGCCTTTGGAAAACATCCCTTTGCTCGGCGGGGTCCCATCTGATGGACAGCCATGGAGGGAAGCTGCAGGAATCAGAAGTCATTCCCAGATCTGATCATTTCAAGGGCAGCTAAACCTTTGATGATCAGAAACAAGAAAAATAGACTAAAGGCAAAACTTTTTTTTTTTTTTTTTTTTTTTTTTTTTTTTTTTTTTTTTTT